TCTCATCTCTGCTTAAGACCAGGTGGCCACTCAAGGCTCAGGGGCTCAACCACCTAGGTAACGAGTGGCTACTTCTGGCAGAAAACATTGCTGATCTGGCTGCTGGACTCCAAACCCTGTGTAACATCAATATCATTAAAGAATGCTTGGTCTCACCTTTCTTCCATCTGTTCACTTTATATATTCTTACGGCTGATCCAACAAACAAACAATAGACTGCGCCTAAGAAGGTCGATAATCTCTAGATGTGATCACACGGCAAAAAATAAATAAAAAAAATAAAAAAAATATATATATATATATATATATATATGTACTCTATTCACTTTATGATGCCAGGTATATCAAAAAAAGAGAAACAATATACAGAACATAGTGTAATAAGTTTAACAATAAAATGGTGAAACAGGCATACACTCACACTTTATAGAGCTACTGAGAGCTCTGCTGTATTCAGCGTGGGTGGTACAATCCCCAGCTAAGGATATAATGCAGCAGGGGTGATGGTATTACTCCAGAATGTGAATTATGTGGAGACAAAAAAATAGAGATATTCAAATGGTACCATATAGCAGCAATCATTGGTATAAATTAAAAGGTAAGTATCCTACTTACATTTTCCAGAGCATGGACATACTCTGGTGTGTAAACGTGACTCCTGGACCTGCTCTGGTGTGTACAAGTCTCCCTCTTTACAAATGATAATGCCCTGGGCATTTAACCTTTTACTTTTAGCACTTTATTGCACATTTATAGCACTTTATTACACCCTGTTTTAACTTCATTGCTTTTTCCTTATTCTGGCTAGTTAGTTTCAAAGAGAGAGAAGGCTATCTCTTATTCTGTTAATGGTTTACCTGTAAATTGGAAACTATCTGTCTCCTTACTATATACTATGGAACGTCCTCTCCGTACTACTCTTTACAGTTTTTTTTTATGTTTTCTATAGATATAATTGCTTCAGGCTGTGGATGCAGCTTTAGCATTAGCTACTATGTATGTTTGATTAATATTCTACAACAAGAGACAGTCCACATTATGCACAATTAGATTGGCTCTCTTCTCCCATTATACATTTGATAGTACCCTATTTCATCCTTAAAGGACCACTATAGGCACCCAGACCACTTCAGCTTAATGAAGTGGTCTGGGTGCCTGGTCCAGCTAGGATTAACCCTTTTTTCTATAAACATAGCAGTTTCAGAGAAACTGCTATTTTTATAATGGGTTTAATCCAGCCTCTAGTGGCTGTCTCATTGACAGCTGCAAGAAGGCTTCCGCGCTTCTCACTGTGATTTTCACAGTGAGAAGACGCCAGCGTCCATAGGAAAGCATTGATAATGCTTACCTATGAACTGGCTGAATGCACGTGCGGCTCCTGACGTGCATGTGCATTCAGAAGAGGAGGAGGAGAGTTCCCCGCCCGGCGCTGGAGAAAGAGGTAAGTTTAACCCCTTCCTCTCCATCCAGCCCAGCGGGAGGGGGACCTTGAGGGTGGTCCTTTAATTTTCTTGACTTTTATTTATGTCGGATTTAATAAAGCCTTACAGTATATGCACCATTTAAGGAATTTCTGATAGATTATATTGGGACATGGGGATACTATACTGGATAAGTGTTAGGTACCACTGAGAAACTTTGGTTGTTTAATTTTGTTTTGTTTATGTACTATTGGGTTATCTGGCACATATCTAGTGGCCTATATATACACTTTTAGAGGGACATTAAGTCCCCTCCCTGTTTTTTTTTTTATTATTATTACAGCCCACCTACCATCCATGAGTGGATGAGTGGAGACTTTGGTCTGAAAATTAGGATCTCCCCTTAGCGCCCCTATTATTTGAGCCCTGACATTTTGCCAAAGGGTTGGGGGCTAGAGTTGGAACATTAGGTCATCAAGGATTACATTAAAAATGTCCCTGCTGATAATAGTGATCTGCTCATACCCCATTATTTAATTTAAAATTCCCTACCTGATACCAAATATGTGGGCACCAGGTTGAAGAAGCTATTCCCCCACTGTGATTTTTACAGGCCACGTTTTTTCTGGTCACTGAGCAGCAATGGTGGCCCAGTTGCTAGTTTTAAATATTTAGTAGCTATGCCCCAACATTCCACATGGCAGGTAGGGCCATAGTGATGTTTAAAACCTTTCTTATGGTAATATGGGCTTCTTATATTAGTTTATTTACTTTTGTAATGTGGTAGCATACAGTTAACAATCTCATTTGCCATATAGTTTGGATTTGAATGTCTGGGTTTAAAGTACCCAGATCAGTATTTTTCATCTGTCCGGCGTTTGGTCCTGCGGAAATCCAGACATAATCCAGGGTCATTCGGAGCCTGAATTGCAAAATGTGGATGTTAAACAGCCTGAACAATGTCCAGATTTTTCAGTCTGAATAGCCATAAACAACCATTTTTATATATTTTTTTGCATTTAGGCAGAGGCATATCTGTTTAATGAACTGTGTTCTCTAGATCATTTTTGTTGCTTTAAATTAAAGTTCTTTAGTTTTTTTTCATTTATTAATTCTTTATTCATGTTTTGTTGTTTTTTTTGTACAAAAAAACAGAAAAAAAATTAACCATACAAAACATATAGTTTATATTAAACATTCAATATATAAAATTCTACTCCCCTCCTGTAAAACCTCACATTCCTAATATAACCTATCCCATTTTGTTGGAATGGGTAACATATAAAACAACATAAATGTCTGGCAGTATAATTCCTAGAATGGTTGAATATTTTCTCATCTTATCCTTGGGTTATTTGTTTGTCATGCTCACTCAGGGATGACTTTTATCCATAGGTCCCATTTATAATTCCTCTTGTGAGTAAAATTTTGGTACTTCTCTTTTCCTATTTCCATATTTAATTGGAAGAAGAGTTGATTTTTTTTTACCTCAATCCATGATGGCGGAATACAAGATTTCCATTTTCTGTGTATTGTAATCTTTGCTGCTAGCAAAGTATGTACTACTATATCGTATTCTGCTTTGGGCACTTAAATGTAGTAAATAAGATTCTGTTTTCAGTGGGAGTTTAATCTTACTGATTACTTGGATTTTATCCTTTCTATCCTCAAAACCTCAGAATCGGTTCACATTTCCATCATATATGTAATAAATCACCTTTTTGTGATTCACATCTCCAACAGCTATCAGTATGGCCACACCACATCCTGTTGAGACGGCTTGGAACCAGGTAAATACGATTATTGAGCTTAAATGGCATCTCTGTTAAATTCAGGCATCTTCCTGATTTACATACTTTCTGAAAAGCTCCTATTAATTATTTTTGGGTAATTTAAACTTGTATATCCCTTTCCCATTTCTCTGCGACCCTACTTGAGCTTGTTTTCCCCCCAATCTTAACAGTTCTTTACATAAAGCTAGCATGCCTTTTGGTTCGATCTTTCTATGAATTGTGTATATTTTTGTAATTATCTCTTTAGGTTCCAGACATAAATGTTTCCTGATATATCCTTTTATTCATAAATGCTTGAAAATTTCTCCTTTAAGTTCTTTTTCAGAAATTTCTATCAAAATTTTAATACGTTTGTTCACTAGTAAGTAATTTATTGTCCTTAAAGGGACACTATAGTCACCAGAACAACTGCAGCTTAATGTAGTTGTTCTGGTGAGTATAATAGCTCCCTTCAGGCATTTTCATGTAAACACTGCCTTTTCAGGGAAAAGGCAGTGTTTACATTGCCCCTAGGGACACCTCCAAGTGGTTACTCCTCAGATGGCCACCGGAGGGGCTTCCTGGTTCAGGGCTGCACAGCTGAATTTTCCTCATAGAGATGCATTGATTCAATGCATTTCTATGAGTTGCTGAGTGGCCAAAACGGTGTTTAACCCCGCTCTGTTGCCGATTTTAGCCAATCCAATGCTTTCCTTATGGGAAAGCATTGGATTGGCTAAAAATCTGCAATTTTGATTATGTCACCAATGGGGTGGGGCCACCTAAATAAGGTGAGTTTTAACCCGTTCTGAGGGGGCTAAGGGGGTGAAAGCATGTTTGTGTTCCTTTAACCCCTTAAGGACACATGACATGTGTGACATGTCGTGATTCCCTTTTTATTCCAGAAGTTTGGTCCTTAAGGGGTTAAGCCACTTCTGTAGCATTTACCCAAATTAATGTATTTGATATTGTTTGCTAAATTTTCCATGGGAGTATTTATTAGGAGTTTAACTTAATTTTCTCCCTAAATTTCTACAAATTAGTTAAAATATGCTTCAAAATGAAACACTTTCCAACTATAGGCATTTTTGATACTTCTGTTGTCCAAAATTCAAACCCTAAGTTTTTCTGTTTAGTTAGGTCTTTTTTCCACCTTGTACCAGTTTTCTTCTTTTATGATTCCTTTTGTGTAATAAATGCATGCATCAACATGCTTGCGTTATGATATTCCTGTATATCTGGCATAGAAAGACCCCTTTGAGCAGGTTTCAGTTTAAAACAGTCTAGTTTTAACATCAGTTTTTTACTACGCCAAAGTTCCTAAATGCCGCCTGAATCATAGAGAGCCAGCTGTTTGGGACTAAAAGGAGTACCATACGGAAAAGTTATAACCATCTGGGGAGAACATATGATCTTAAAATATTTATTCTTCCCCTGAATGAGAATTCCATCTTTCCCCAATCTTTCAACTTGTTTAAGAAGAGGTAGGAAATTTGCTTTTATTATTTTGTTTGGGTCAGAGCATATCGTTATACCCAAGTATTTCATACTTGATGTCCAGTCAAATTTGTATTTAGCTTTCAAGAGCTCTTTAGTTTGTGCCAAGACATTATTTATTAAAGCTGTGGTTTTATTAAAATTAAGCAGATAGGGGGCGGAGCTTGACCGCCATGTGGAGAAATCGCATGCAACCGGAGCTCCGACCAAATGACAGACTTACAGTCATCCTGGTCGCATCCCAACCAAGCTAACCGGGCTACACACTTACCACCACACGGTACCATCGGTGGGACCAGACTGGGGCAACATGGACTCTCCGGACGCACTAGCCGAGGCAGGTCCGACATGCAGCCTAGCAGTTGATGCAGGGCGGAGGACGCAGCCGGTCATCCAGCCCCGAAGTCCTGCAGAAGCAGACCTCTCCCCCCCCTTTGGACTGTTGGGGGTCATCACGGTCCACCACGGCAACCCCACAAACCTGTCATTACACATGCAGGCCCTGCTGGAGAGACGCGGGCAGAAGAATGCTGCAACACCCAACACATCTAAGATGGCAGCAGTTCTCACTGCGAAGTCTCGTGCAAACACACTGCCTCACACATCAGAGTAACTGGCTATGTGCAGCGATTGAAGGGTGGAAATGGAAGAGGTCCGTGGCAAATAACTCACTGCGGCAAGCAGAGGAGAAGGCCTCAGGACATACAACAGCGAGAAGACTCTCCCACTCCCTCTGGCACATGGAACACAGCAGCATAGTCTCGATCCAGGACCGAATGACCCAACCACAAGAGATGGCTTGAAGGGTATGGACTGACTCTGGGACTATACCTACAGAAAAGCATCAACAGTTCCCTACCCAACTGCAATCATTCTGCCAAGCATCCCCTCTGCTCTCACCTCAGGGGTCTACCTGCTGTGAAGCTCACCCTGATCAGCGATGCCGTGATCCATACTAACCTAGCACTCTATATCCAAACATCCCTAACTGAACTGGTGTGTCATCTATGTTAAAAACCGTTTTGTTCAAGCATTTGTATCACTCACCTTTCTAACTTCTTACACATGGTTAAAGGCACATCGCTGTCTATCTAAATGTCAATATAAGAGCTGATTCCTCTGTCTAAGCATGATGTTAGTAAACAGCTTCTCGTACCTTGGCACAGCTAGACATACCAATCTAGAATAATACTTGACTGTTATAAACCTTGCATTGCACTATTATGGCGTATCTTGTCTCATTACCTTGTTATAAACCCCCCCAAAAAACAGTGCAGCATCTCTTGACTAACCAAGCCAACTGTTTCACGTGATTTGATATATTATTTTGTACAAGTCACTACTTATGCCTGTAACTTACTCTGCATCCAAAAATAAAGAATAAAAAAAATAAAAAAATTAAGCATATAACCAGACACCTCAGAGAATTGTTCTATAACCTTAACCGTTTCTTCTATGGAGTGTTAAGGTTCTTTTAAGGCCATAATCACATCGTCCGCATACAGGTTCAATTTCAGTTTGCCAGAATTTTTTCTGAACCCTTTAATCTTTTTATTTTCTCTGATCTGAGAGGCCAACATTCTAGTGACATAATATATAAAATCGGGGAGAGTGGACAACCCTGTCTGGCTCCATTTACTAGATTGAACCAGTCAGAGCTGAACCCCCCCCTAAGTACCCTAGCAGTTGGAGCTGAGTATAATGGTCTCCAACATCCACCCATTGAAACCAAATTTCCTCAAGACATCTCTGAGGAAACCTGACCCGACCCTATCAAACGCCTTTGCATGTAAAGATAGGGTCAAGTGGGTTATTCACTCTGTTTGCACTGCATCCAAAATATCTACCAGTCTCCTGATGTTATTTATGGATTATCTTCCAGGGACGAAACACACCTGGTCCGAATGGATCAATGTAGAGACAACCTGCTTTAACTGCTCTGCCAATACCGCAGAATATACCTTAATATCAGTATTAAGGAGCGAAATAGGTTTATAGTTACTAATCAATTCAGGGTTTTTCCCTTCTTTCGGTATTGTTGTAATCTTTGCTTGTAATAGTTCTTTAGGTATGTCTTTCCTTTCCGCTATCACATTAAATGTGTTGGTCAGGTGTTCTTTTAGAACGTTTTTCATTATTTAATAAAACAAGTTATTAAAACCATCCCGACCAGGAGATTTCCTTTCAGCCTGTCTATAGCCTTTTCTACCTCATTCTCTGAGATCTTCATATTTAATATTTAAGATTGATTTTCCGTTAGATGAGGTAGTTTTATTTTATCCAAATAATCTGTTATCTGTACCTGCGTAGGTTTGGTTTGAAGGTTATATAAATGGTGATAGAATTATTTGAAGGCAATCACTATGTTTTCCGCAGTCAATAATATCACATTCTTTGACCTTATTAAAGTAATGTTTTTATTTGCTATTATTTTTTTTTTAGTCTATTAGACATTGTTTTGTTAACCTTGTTACCTTGATAGTACCATTTCCTATTAAGGCGTTCTAATCCCCTGTTAACTCTTTCTATAAGTAAATCTTTTATGTTTTTTTCAACCTCTACTATTTTTTGTGTTAGCTCTCTATTTGGGTTAAGTTTATTTTGTCTAGTTAGCTCCTCAAGTTTAATATAATGATCTGCTAATCCGTATGGATTTTTTCTTCATTTCTCTAGCTCCTATTTTAATCAGGTCACCTCTAATCACACATTTATACGGACACCATGTCATGGGGTCAGCGACATCTCTATCCCAGTTTTCTTTGAAGAAATTCTCCATTATTTTTTTCAGTTGTTGTTGATATTCTTTATTTAACAAAATATTTTTTTATCCTCCAGTTATTTCGTCTCCTTTTTTGCTTTTCGTTTTGTTCCAGCACAACAGGATTGTGGTCTGACCATACTAGAGTTTTGATGTCTATTTTTTTGATTAGCTTGGATAAGTGCCTGTCTCCAAAAATCATATCTATCCTTGAATAACTTAAATAGGTTTTCGAAAAACAAGTATAATCCAAAACCTTGGGGTGTATAATTCTCCACATGTCTAACAAAGCAATATCCCTTATAAGCTCTCAATCTTTTTGCGTTGTTAATCACATTCCTATCTACTTTCCTAGGGGTAAATATTTTTTTTTTCAAGCTTTGGATCCATTGTGCAGTTAAAATCTCCCATAAGCAACAAACTACCTTGTTTTATTCTATCGATCTTAAGGAGCATCTTCTTTATAAACTTATTTGGGGATTTATTTGGTACATAAAGGATAGCCAGGGTAAAAGTCTCTACCAATCTTACAAACCAAAATCACATATCTAGCTTCCGTATCGCTTTCCTGATATATTATTTCAGGGGATACTTTTCTAGAAAAGAGGATTGCCACTTCTTGTGACAAACTCCCCTTTTTAAGGGAGATTGCAATGAGTTTTTGGAAGGGCCTGCTTGCCAGCCTCCTACCCTGGGACTATTGGCCCTGTGATAACCCATGTTCAAAAGTACTGCAATCTAATGTGCCACCAGATAGGAGTGGTGTGTTAAGTAGTACTATTCTTATCAGTTTAATCCCTGTTACGTCCCCTATCAGGGGACGTGTATTTGGCATCGATTTTAGGAACTGGGAGATGGAAAAAGATGCTTGGTCGGTCCTCCTACTTCAAATTTGGGGCACTGCGCGTGCAATCTAATGTGCCACCAGATATGAGTTGCACTGGTGTGACACTGTGCCCTGGCAGGCCCTGAAACGCACACGCGTGAAGGAAACCGACTGCTATTATATTACAGTCCAAAAAGTTTTGTTTTTTTTAAATGCAAGCTATTGGGACACCAGTGAGTGAGTGGTGGCACTGGGCAGGCCCTGAAACGCACACTCGTGAAGAAAACGTGAAACGTGAAGAAAACTGACTGCTATTATATTACAGTCCAAAAAGTTTGGGTTTTTTTAAATGCAAGCTATTGGGACACCAGTGAGTGAGTGGTGGCACTGGGCAAGTGGGCACAGTATATGCTGTGAGCCTGACACACAGGCTGGCAGGCAGGCAACTGCAATTACATTACACAGAAAAAAAAGCAGACTGATGTTCTAGCCCTAAAAAGGGCTTTTTGGGGTGCTGTCCTTACAGCAGAGATCAGATGAGTCTTTCAGGACTGTAGTGGACACTGAATACACTAGTCTAGCTATCAATTTCCCTATCAAATCAGCAGCAGCTACACTGTCCCTCCTCTCACTAAGAATGCAGCTTCACAATGAATGTAAAATGGATGCTGTCCAGGAGGTGGGAGGGTCTGGGAGGGAGGGTCTGCTGCTGATTGGCTGGAATGTGTCTGCTGACTGTGAGGTACAGGGTCAAAGTTTACTCAATGATGACGAATAGGGGGCGGACCGAACAGCATATATAGTAAATAATCACCAGAAAAGAGTATTGGTCCTATCTGATAGACAGGAAGGTTATATGATGATCTCCTAAAAATGGCGTATAACTTCTCAAATCCCAGTGGATTAACCCACACCCAAGGTTAAAAATTACTAAAATGGATATAAATAGCAAAAAGAGGAGATCAAATTGCTGGTACCAGGAGATAGTTATTGCCACTTATCTATCTGAGGGGAATGTATCGTAACTTCCTAGTATAGACTTAATGATCAAAATTACAGAAAGGGAAAATCTACTAAATAACGTTATACAATAATAAGAACAATGATAAAATATCAGAAAAACATTTGTAAAAATAATTACTGAGTATTAAACAACATAAAAAATGATGAAAAATGATAAAAGACAAAGAAAATAAAACAGTCCTTAATAAATATAAAATGTAAAAAGACTAGCCGAATGCTTCAAAGTGAGTCTTTAGAGTCAATTAGGCTGTGTGCTCCTATATGAATGAGGCTGAAATCCCTTCTATAGTGAAAGGAGGGAAAACTAACCAATAGGAGCAAATAAGTTAATCTAGTGACACATTGCAAAAATATACAACAATGTGATACACATAGAAAATAACTTCATCCGATATGTTAAAAGAAATGTATCGAAGTATAGTGAACTTCTCTACATAAGGATCAAAATTGTGCAGTTAGTAGTATAAAACTTTTCCACTCCAGCGTTGGTCTTTATAATAAGAAGAGTAACAGTGTATCTTCCATAAAGACAAAATTTATTGGTAAACGTAAATATCATAAATGACATAAAAGATATTATAAAAATATACACTGATGGCTACAAAGTATAGGAACCTTATCCGGAGTTTCACCACCTTCAGTTCAAATCCACTGCCGTTTGCTGACTCCCAAAAGCCGGCTTGGAGACAGCTGCAGAGTACTGTGTGTTCAGAAGCTGAAGGGGAGACTTGCCGCGTGCGTTCCACTGCGATTCACTTTGCGTTCCAATCAGTCTGTGTTCCGGTGAGATGCAGCCTTACGCGTTTCGTGACGACCTGTCACTTCATCAGAGGAATGCATCTTACATCTAAAGCTGGATATTTATACACTATGGGCTTATACATCCTATTAACCCTTGTGTTGTTTAGTTTCTATATTATACTACAGTTTGATCACATTTATAAAGGAAAGTTTTATAAACATATCAATAATAAAAGAAAACAATAAAAACTCCATTTTTGTATTA